ATTTATTTAAATGAGGGAAAAAAACTTCACTGGTATCGGATCGGTATCTGTAACGGCCAATACCGAACCCTAGGTATCGGTATCGGTATCGGAGGCGAAAAAGGCGGATCAGAGCATCCCTAGGTACAACACTAGTGAACTGCCTCCGGAGACGGAGGTGTAAAAAAAAAAATCATAATTTTTTAATTAAATTAAATAGATAAATAATACAAGCAATTGTTGCTATTATATAATAAAAGTAGTTGTTATTGTATTTCAAAACATATTTTGTAACATTGTCTTTATCATCACTTTTCATCAATGTAAAGCATCCTTGCTAAATAAAAGTATTAATTTCTATCACCCCCCCCCCAAAAATATTATACTGACTCCAAGCTTTTGAATAGTATAGTGTATAATATTACAAAAGCTTTTTATTTCATATAAATGCTGATCTTTGGATCTTTCTATTCAAAGAATCCTGAAAAAATGTACTCAACCGTTTTAAATATTGATAATAATAAAAAATGCTTCTTGAACAGCAAATCAGCATATTAGAATGATTTCTGAAGGATAATGTGACACTGAAGACTGGAGTAATGATGCTGAAAATTCAGCTTTGAAATTACATTTTAAAATATATTCAAATAGAAAGTTATTTTAAATAGTAAAAATATTTCACAACATTACTGCTTTTGCTGTATTTTAGATCAAATAAATGCAGGCTTGGTGAGCAGAAGAGAATTCTTTAAAAAACATTAAAAAAAATTACTGTTCAAAAACTTTTGACTGGTAGTGTACGTAACGTTTAATGAAAGAACAGTTTTTAATGTCCTGCTCACTCTTTCCCATATAATTACAATGAATGGGAAGTGAAGCTTTCAAGCTTCAAAAAAGACACAAAGGCAGTGTAAAAGTGGTCCATACGGCTTGTGCACTATATTCCAAATCTTCTGAAGGCATACAATACACATGTGTAAGGAGCAGACTGAAATTTATGTTGGTATTCACTGAGAATCCTCCAGTGAGTTGTTAACTGCTGCAAATGGATGTCATATTTCTAAACAAATCATTAAGACCAGTTCTGTCAACTGGATGAACAGATTCATTGAAAAGATCTGATGCAAAAAAAGTGATTAATGATTTATTCACAAATCAGATAATATTATTTCTCTTTTTAACGCTAGAAGAACTAAGTCAAAGACTTTCAATAAATAATTAACATTTTAATCTATAATGGTTTCAGAAGACATGAAATATAGTGCATACATCACATTGACCACTTTTAATGAGTCACATGAACCACATTTTTACAATACTTTGACAATTTGCAATTTGACAGCACCAGACTTCAATTTCAATATTAAAAATACATATTTAAAATAATAATAATAATAATAATAAATAAATAAATAAATCACAACAAAAATTCATAATAGGAAGAAAGATTCATTAAGGTTTGGAACAATATGAGAAAGAGCAAATGGTTTTCTTTTTTGGATAAGCTATTCGATTAAAATTTTCTGAATAATTTAAATTAAATCTGAATGAATACATTTAATTTTAAAGAATAATTATAATAAACACTGAAAGAAAATCCAATTCTACCATTCATCTCACACTTCCAGCCACACAAAAATAAGTCTTTCAAAGCAGCTCAGCAACACTTGAGTGAGATGAAGAATAGAGAGAGGCATATGAAGTGAAGTGTTTACTCGGAGCAAACAAATCCGTTCTCCGCCTCTGCTAACATTGATTACAGGGACTTAAAGCATCTGAAAGACCCGCTTAAACAAACATTGATAGGAAAGAGGGAGAAAGACCTGGAGTCTCGACTGGGCAGGTTGTTCTTGACTGGTGTCTCTGTGTCTGAGCTGCTATCGTCATCATCAGACCCCTCTGACTGGAGGTCCTCCACCATAGAGCGCAGCGGGCCTAAAGACCAAAGTCCACAATGAGCTTCTGCAACATTTACGGTGGTTTGATTGAACTTTCAAAATCCCACTTTAAAGGTGAAGTGTGTTTCCTTAAAGGGGTCATATGATGCGATTTCAAGTTTTCCTTTCTCTTTGGAGTGTTACAAGCTGGTTGTGCATAGATGAAGATGAAGCTCATGATTATGGTAAGGGAAATTACATTTCCGACGAGTGCTTGCGGTGTTCGGCCAATCACAATGCACTGGGTCAGCTGGCCAATCAGAGCAGACTGCGCTCGTCGGAAGGAGGGACTTTGTAGAAAACGAAGCGTTTGAGAGAGGCGGGGCATAGAGGACCTACAATAATGTACAGTATTTGAAAAATAATATGTTTTTTGAACATTAAAGCATGTCAACATATTCTGTTACACCAAATACACAAAATAATGATCTTTAAAAAAGCATCATATGACCCCTTTAAAACTTCTCGCACCTGCCATTGGTTAGACAAACAAATGGTCTCACCCAAATTTACTTTATTAGTTAAGCCAATTTTCTGTGTTGGACTGGATGTTACAAATAAAATGTGAAAGGAACAAGGATTTTTATTATTGGCAAATTACATGCATAACCTTTTTAAAAAAATGCCCCTCGTTCCTTCATTTTTAAGGAAGTTCCTTGTTCTGACACATCCTTAACCCTCTCCACGGTAATCGATCAAAGCAGCAGACTGTTAACCTTGAGTTAAAGTGTAGTAGGGAAATCTATTTATGGATCTGACTGCTTCTTATCAGGACACTCCCTGCAGTAAAAGAGCAGGTCCTACCTTGGCCTTGTTTCTGCTGTGGCTCAAAGTCTGAATCGGAGCTGGACTCTGAGCTGGAGCTGGAATTAGACGGGCTGGAAGGTGCTGACTGCTGTAGGAAGAAGAGGACAGGACACAAATTAAAGATTTTAGTTATCACAATGTCAGCTTTAGGTCAGGAGTTGGCAACCTTTTTAACATGTTAAATTTAATTTGTAGATATTTAACAATATAATTTATGTATTTATTAATTATATAAATGTATAAATTATTGAATAAATTATTATTCAAATTAAATTTAACACTGTAATAAAAAGGTTGAAAACCCCTAACTTAATTTAAATAAATAAACAAATACATTGTATTGAAAAAAAAAAAACTTCCGTAAAAATGTAAAAAAGTTAGCCCTCACTTATATTAATTCTTTAAATGTAAATGTGAAAAAATACATATTCAGTTTAATGCTTTTTTAAAAAGGCTGCCAACCCCTAAATTATTTTAAATAAATAAATAAATGTGACCCTGGACCACAAAACCAGTCTTAAGTCGCATATTTGTAGCCAAAAATACATTGTATGGGTCAAAATTATAGATTTTTCTTTTATGCCAAAAATCATTTGGATATTAGGTAAAGATCATGTTCCATGAAGATATTTTGTAAATTTCCTACTGTAAATATATTAAAACTGCATTTTTGATAAGTAATATGCATAGCTAAGGACTTCATTTGGACAACTTTAAAGGCAATTTTCTCAATATTTAGATTTAGATTTTTTGCCCCCTCAGATTCCAGATTTTCACATAGTTGTATCTCAGCCAAATATTGTCCTATCCTAACAAACCATTCATCAATGGAAAGCTTATTTATTCAGCTTTCGGATCATGTAGAAATCTCAATTTCGAAAAATTGAACCTTATGACCGGTTTTGTGGTCCAGGGTCACAAATAAATAAGTAGTGTTATCTTGCTTTAAAATCCAAAACAAATCTTATAAACAAAACTATCACTTAATTCTAACCTCAGACTTAGACGAGGCCTCATCATCTGAGTTGGAGTCATCGGATTCCGGAGGCTTCTTGGACTCCTTGACCTCCTGGGCCTCTGACTTGCCCTTGGCCCAGCGGCCCTTCTCTTTAGAGGCCTTCTTATCAGCATATCCCGAGGAGGCCGTGGAAGAAGATGCGGTGCGGGGGGAGGTGCCGGTGAACCCCCCACTGCTGGAGCCTTTTGACCCCTCTGAACCCCCTTTCTTTGGCTTCTTGACACTAGGTTTGGGTGACTCCGCATTGGAAGGTCGTTTGCTGGGTGCTTTTCCATCGGCCGCTCCACCTCCCCCTCCACCGCCCGCTGACCCCGCTCCCCCTCCTTTAGGAGACATGCCTTCCATTTTGGACTCCTTCTGCGTGAGTTTGGGCTCCTTGAAAGCAGCTTTGGGCACGACTTTGTTCTCGTCCTTCACTTTGATCTCTGTTTTCTTGGATGATGAAGATGAAAATGAGGAAGGGTCACGGCTACTTTTGCTGCTGCCATCCCGTTCAACATCCCCTTTGGATGTGGCTTTGCTCTCAGAGTCTTTTCGTGGCCGCTCTCGATGCTCCTTGGCCATTTTGTGGGATTTCGACACTTTGCTTCCCTCTTTACTAGGCTCCTACAGAAAAGAAACAGTGTTAACAATTAAAAATATAATGTCTATTCACCGAGTTAAACAGGAAATAGTCAGTTATCCAAGAAATGACTGCAGCAAATTACAGATAGTTTTGAATTTTAATAAATACTGCATTCCTGAACCCACTTTTTTAAATAGAAATTTAATTTCATTTTATTTTTTACTTTAAAATGATGCAACTGAATGATTTTCAGCTGCATCGTTTTTTCCATAGTAAAAAAATTTAATTAAATTTCATTCAAAAAAAGTGGGTTCATTGTAGTGATGTCAAACGATTAATTGCATTCAAAATAAAAGGTTTTGTTTACATAATGTGTGTACGGTGTATATTTCTTATGTATATATAAAAGCACACACATACAGTATATATTTTGAAAATATTTACATGTACATATTTATATTCATATAATTTATATTATATATAAATATATTTATTATATAAACATAAAATGTTTCTTAAATATACACATGCATGTGTTTGTTTTTATATATACATAATAAATATGCACAGCACACACATATATTATGCGAACAAAAACTTTTATTTTGGATGCGATTAATCGTGATTAATCATTAGACAGCACTAGTTAATTAATTTAAGAATTTAAAATTAAGGAATTTAAAGAAATTAATACTTATTCAGCAAGGACGCATTAAAGTGATCAAATGTGACAGAAAATATATTTACAATTGTTACAAAATATTTAAATTTCAAATAAAGGTTGTTCTTTTGAACTTTCTATTCAAATCCTGTAAAATATTAAGCAGTGCAATATTAGGCAGTTTTATAACATTGATAATAATCAGGAATGTTTTGGAATCCCAAATCAGCATATTAGAATGACATTTGAACGATAATGTGACACTGAAGACTGGAGTAATGGCTGATGAAAATACATTTTATTTTATTTAATATAGTATATATATATTCAAATAGAAAACATTTATTTTAAATGATAATATTATTTAACGACATTACTGTTTTACTGTATTTTTTATTAAATAAATGTAGCCTTGGTAAGCTTTAGAGACTTCTTTCAAAAACAAAGAATTGTACCAATCTCAAACCTTTGAACTGTAGTGTAAACTCACAAAAAAGTAATACAAAGTACTAAGGAATAACCATGTTTTTGGTCAAGATACACACTGTTTTATTTATTTTTGGACATGGATAATAATCCAACTACTCATTTAGGAAAATATGTCATTTTGAATAACCCAAATATTAATATAATAATCATTTCCGTGCTATATTGTTATCATCTGTCACCATTTACCTTGGTGCACATTGTTAAATACAACCACACAACAGATCCCCTGTTAGGAGAAAGCATAGAGTTTGACACCTCAAACAATTAGAGCCTGTCTTAACTACGATCATATAACCCATGTGTGACCTTCACACAAAGGTCATGTGCTGTATTAATGAGGCTGTGCTGAGATTAGGACTGTTAAGGATAAAGGGGATTCACTTTGATCTCTGTTTTCTTGGATGATGAAGATGAAGATGAGGAAGGGTCACGGCTACTTTTGCTGCTGCCATCCCGTTCAACATCCCCTTTGGATGTGGCTTTGCTCTCAGAGTCTTTTCGTGGCCGCTCTCGATGCTCCTTGGCCATTTTGTGGGATTTCGACACTTTGCTTCCCTCTTTACTAGGCTCCTACAGAAAAGAAACAGTGTTAACAATTAAAAATATAATGTCTATTCACCGAGTTAAACAGGAAATAGTCAGTTATCCAAGAAATGACTGCAGCAAATTACAGATAGTTTTGAATTTTAATAAATACTGCATTCCTGAACCCACTTTTTTAAATAGAAATTTAATTTCATTTTATTTTTTACTTTAAAATGATGCAACTGAATGATTTTCAGCTGCATCGTTTTTTCCATAGTAAAAAAATTTAATTAAATTTCATTCAAAAAAAGTGGGTTCATTGTAGTGATGTCAAACGATTAATTGCATTCAAAATAAAAGGTTTTGTTTACATAATGTGTGTACGGTGTATATTTCTTATGTATATATAAAAGCACACACATACAGTATATATTTTGAAAATATTTACATGTACATATTTATATTCATATAATTTATATTATATATAAATATATTTATTATATAAACATAAAATGTTTCTTAAATATACACATGCATGTGTTTGTTTTTATATATACATAATAAATATGCACAGCACACACATATATTATGCGAACAAAAACTTTTATTTTGGATGCGATTAATCGTGATTAATCATTAGACAGCACTAGTTAATTAATTTAAGAATTTAAAATTAAGGAATTTAAAGAAATTAATACTTATTCAGCAAGGACGCATTAAAGTGATCAAATGTGACAGAAAATATATTTACAATTGTTACAAAATATTTAAATTTCAAATAAAGGTTGTTCTTTTGAACTTTCTATTCAAATCCTGTAAAATATTAAGCAGTGCAATATTAGGCAGTTTTATAACATTGATAATAATCAGGAATGTTTTGGAATCCCAAATCAGCATATTAGAATGACATTTGAACGATAATGTGACACTGAAGACTGGAGTAATGGCTGATGAAAATACATTTTATTTTATTTAATATAGTATATATATATTCAAATAGAAAACATTTATTTTAAATGATAATATTATTTAACGACATTACTGTTTTACTGTATTTTTTATTAAATAAATGTAGCCTTGGTAAGCTTTAGAGACTTCTTTCAAAAACAAAGAATTGTACCAATCTCAAACCTTTGAACTGTAGTGTAAACTCACAAAAAAGTAATACAAAGTACTAAGGAATAACCATGTTTTTGGTCAAGATACACACTGTTTTATTTATTTTTGGACATGGATAATAATCCAACTACTCATTTAGGAAAATATGTCATTTTGAATAACCCAAATATTAATATAATAATCATTTCCGTGCTATATTGTTATCATCTGTCACCATTTACCTTGGTGCACATTGTTAAATACAACCACACAACAGATCCCCTGTTAGGAGAAAGCATAGAGTTTGACACCTCAAACAATTAGAGCCTGTCTTAACTACGATCATATAACCCATGTGTGACCTTCACACAAAGGTCATGTGCTGTATTAATGAGGCTGTGCTGAGATTAGGACTGTTAAGGATAAAGGGGATGCTGGAAGACGTCCAGCTCTGGATGATCACAGTAAATCAGCAGCGAGCGACTGACCCTCTTTACTGCACTAATGAAAGATGCCGCAGAATGACCTAGACAAAGCACCAGTGCTCAGATATGATAAAGCGAAGGTCATTTAATAGAGATATGACACATGTCCTACATAATGGACTCTTAATTCTTACTGAAACAATCTAATCTGCTGCTTAGAAGTAAACAAAAGAGAATTGAGGAAGCTGTGATCCCCTAATATCTCTCCACAGACTATTATCAGATATCAATTGTCTATTACAAATTATATTTTCAGAATAACAACATTGGAGTAAAAAATTACTGTTCGAAAGTTTGGGGTTAGAGGATTGAGGAATTTTTCATGTTTTTGAAGAAATCTCTTATTATGCTTACCAAGGCTCCATTTATTTAATTAAAAAAAAGGAAAAAAAGAGCAAAAACTGTAATATTCTAAAATATTGTTAAAAAAAAAATATATATATATATATTTTTTTTATATATATAATTTATTCCTGTGATGGCACAGCTGAATTTTCAACAGCGATTACGCCAGTATTCAGTGTCACATGATCCTTCAGAAATAATTTTAATATGCTGATTTGGTGCTCAATAAACATTATATATCATTACCAATGTTAAAAACAATTTGCTTAATATTTTGGTAAAATGTATGCACTTTTTAGGATTCATTGATAAATAGAAAGTTCAAAGGAACAGCATTTGAATTTTTTTGTAACATTATAAATGTCTATGCTCTCAAATTAATGCACCCTTGCTAAATAAAAATATTATTTTTCTTCTCACAAAAACGTCTTACTGACCCTAAATAACATCTTTATTTTAAAATCAAACTTTTTCCAGTTTTTTTTCTCTGATTTAAAAAAAAAAATCCTAAAACATTTTTTTCCCCCAGGTTTAACAGAAAAAAATAGATTTTCCATGTGATCTCAGAATATTGGACCCCCTTGTATAAAAAAGAAAGACAACAAAACATCGCACATATGGCATATTTTAAAATGATTTTTCAAACCTTTGATCCTTGTGAAGCCTTGCTCTTCTTAGGGTCAGAAAAGGCAGAGAGTGGGATGGTTGGAAGCATGGGGTAGTCTGGGCTGGGTCTGGGGACCACCTCTGCCCCCTCTGGGACCACCATGATCTGATATGTACAGAAAGAACGAAAGATAAGAGCACATTCATCAAAAACGTACAATTTTCCTGACTGAACTGTGCAACCAACAACTCAATTTCCCACAATGCAGCACTCACCCCTCCAGCCTTGACTAGCTTGCGACGGAAGTCACGAGTGGGGTTATTGAAGGTTAGTTTCTCACAGCGCAGGTGATTGACAGGTGGGTTTCCCTCCAGGTTAAGGAAGAGGTCGTAATTGAAGCACACCTTCTTTGGCTCCTCCTGCATTAAATTAGCATTATTGAGTGATTCCATTAAATCCTCTCATACCACAGAATAACTGAAGACAAGCATTAAAGTGAGTCAACAGGGCACCAACTGCAGTGATTCAAGGACTTCTTTCATGGGCGGCACAGCCAGAGGTTCATTCAAGATTCAAGGGCAAAACATCAGCAAAGATCAGAGTTACAAATCAAACCCCCAGATGCACATTCTCCACCTCTTTTTATCTCTCTCTCAGCATGCTGAAATCTGTGAGTTACTGAAAACAACATAGGAAAACAAGACTCGCTGAAGGTTGGGGATGTTTTTCAGAAAAGATATGACAGATACAGATACATATCACAAGCCTGTGAGTCAGCGGGTGGGCTTGAAAACGAGAGTGTAATTGTTTCGCATTATACTGCTCTGATCATAAGGCAAATCATTCTCCTCTGCATACTCTACTCTACGTTGCCTGTTTAATGTCAATGGGGGGGAAGTTCACAAATGACAAGACAGAGGAAGAGCAGCTGATACTCAGATGAGGGATGTACAGTGGGGCAAAAAAGTATTTAGTCAGCCACCAATTGTGCAAGTATCCCACTTAAAAAGATGAGAGAGGCCTGTAATTTTCATCATAGGTATACCTCAACTATGAGAGACAAAATGAGAAAAAAAAATCCAGAAAATCACGTGAAAAAATAAAAATAACTAGAGAACAAGAGAGAACAGCAACAGAGGACAGAAGAGCTGCAGGAAGAGATACCTCACCTTGTTTTTGAAGTAGACCTCTATGGGCATCAGAAAACCAGCATATCCCGACTCCTCAACCTTGTATGGTGGCTCCTTACACACTGCAAGTAAAAGAAAAAGACGAATTATTTCCCTGAAAAATCTGCATATAACAATAATATTCATAACTATTTGAATGTAAGAGACTTAAAGAGACTTATTTGTACTCATATACACAATCCAAAAATTTGGGGTTGATAAGATTAACGTTTTTAAAAGTAGTATGTTATTCTCACCAAGTCTGCATTTATTTAATCAAAAAATACAGTAAAACAGTAATATTGTGAAATATTTTAACAACTTAAAATAACTATTTTCTATTTTAGTATATTTTAAAATGTAATTCATTCCTGTGATGGAAAAGCTGAATTTGTAGCAGTCATTACTCCAGCCTTCAGTGTCACATGATCATACAGAAATCATTCTAATATGCTGATTTGGTGCTTAAGAAACATTTCTTATTTTTGGCAAAAAAAAAATTTTTTAATTACGTTTAAAACAGTTTTTTTGTGAAACAGTGATCAATTTTTTCAGGATTCTATGATAAATAGTAAGTTCAATAGAACAGCGTTTATTTGAAATGGAAATCTTTTGTAACAATGCAAATGTCTTTACTGCCCCTTTTGATCAATTCAATGCTTCCTTGCTGAATAAAAGCAATAATTTCTTTCCAAAAAAAAACAAACAATCTTACTGACACCTGAACGGTAATGTATCCATTTATAGATCATTACATATTATTTAATGTTTCACAATTTTATTAATAAGGTGGTTTCACATTTTTATTGGAGCTTTCATTTACAAACACGAAAATTAAGGCTTTGCTCATGAATATTAATTATGTTACATCATGTTTGCTCAATAGGCCTAACTGATTGGCTGAAAGGCACATGCTGTTAAGTGTGCACTGATCAGCTGCCATTTCAAGAATCCGACTATGGTGAAGACACAATCATGAATATTTATTAAAATTATTTGACTGGACACTCCAGGAAGGTTACCAAGCAACATCTGCATGACCCAATTAATATTCACGAACTGTAAATTAATTTTGCAAACCAATCTTGGAATCAGTGTATTGAAACACTTCACTGAAACACAATGTGAAAGAACTGATTGTATATTAACAACAACAAAAAAACTAATGAAATAAATTATACATATTCAAAAATATCCCTCCATCCAAATCATCATAAAGTAATGTAAATATAAAATGCTAACTTTGATCTTAGACCAGCACTGTTAATCCAAGACATGTGGCAAGTGAAATGGGTTGATGTTTAATCTGCTGACAGTAGCTTCATTTCTCCAGTCATCTGAGGCTGTTTATTTGTAGCCTTCAGTATTGATTTAGTATCGACACCAAAGTACTAGAAGCTGGTGTGGTACAAAGCCAAAACTTTAATATTGAGCCAACCTATAAATATTACAAGAAAGAAGCATACTGCTCCTTATGATATGCAACATGTCGTGTGGCTCTCACACATGCTGGTTTTTTAAGATTGAACTGTGAGTGGTGCAATATCTCATTTGTGAAGTTGTCAAATTTACCCCTCTTGGGTTTAGGAAAGCTTTCGTGCAGCCGGAAGACGACTTTATCCACAAAGTGCTGAATGTCACTGTTCTCAGGGCCTCGCACAAACACCATCCAGTCGTGGGTGAAGCCCTCTGACGTCACCTTCTTCCTCAGCTGGGCCCTGTGACCCAGCTCAAGCTTTACCTGAACCGTGCACTGCAAACAGAGAAACACATATTAATTAAATGCTTCAATAAGACCGAGTTCAGTTGAAGTTCAGGAGAGGAGAGCAATGGACAATTTCTGTCATTATAATTCATAATCACAGACTACTACAAACCTGTCATTTGCCATAAAGTAAAATATGACTTTAATAATAAAAATGTATTACATACAGTGGGTACGGAAAGTATTCAGACCCCCTTAAATTTTTCACTCTTTGTTATATTGCAGCCATTTGCTAAAATCATTAAAGTTAATTTTTTTTCCTCAATGTACACACAGCACCCCATATTGACAGAAAAACACAGAATTGTTGACATTTTTGCAGATTTATTAAAAAAGAAAAACTGAAATATCACATGGTCCTAAGTATTCAGACCCTTTGCTGTGAAAAAATGTTTTAATAAAAAGAATTGTTTGGTTACAAAATGTTACAAAAGATTTCTATTTAAAAATGCTTTTTATTCATTAAAGAATCCTGACATATGTCACAGTTTTAATTGACTACATTAACTGTCACAGTTAATAATCAAGTTTTTTTTTAGCACAAAATGAGCATATTTGAAAAAATCTATTTAAAAAAAAAACATATGACACTGAATGTTACTGGAGTAACAGCTTCTGAAAATTCAGCTTTGCTATCACAGGAACAAATTGCATTAATTTACAACAATTTTCAAGCAATAAAATAGAAATTTTATTTAAATTTTTAAATAAATAGTTTTAAATTTTAAAATAATTTCACAATATTAATGTTTTTACTGTATTTTTGATCAAATAAACCACCTTGGTAAGCATAAGAGACTTATTTTTAAAAAAAACATTTTTTTTAATCTTACCTACCCCAACTTTATATATTCCATTATATATATTATAGGATTTTTAAAAAAGGATAAAAAATTTTAATATAAAATTAAGAAATAATATAATTTATAAAATCATATATTATTTATTTATATAAATATTTGTATTATTTTCAACCCTCTACATTGTGAGTAAATCACTTGCATATGCAACTAAATCTTCACTCTGGGCGACTAAATTATGTCTAATATTAGCCAATGGATAATAAATTCTCAGATTTTACTCGCCAGTGTGTGAGTTGGAGGCTGAGTATATGATTAGCACAGATATATTTTCACTCGCCGAACACTCTCTGACTGAGCACTTCAAAGTTTCACTCGTCTCCGTCAATCGATCTGTGCTATTTTTCAGCTCATCTGAAAGGATGCGCAGTGTACCTGTATTTTATGGAAGCATATAGGTAGCGAAATTCAATTTAAAATGCAATATGCAAAATGGCAATGCAATATTCAAAATGGCAACGCAATATTCAAAATGGCATTGTATTTCTGTATTTAAATTTTAATTTTCCATTACCCATGCGTGCAAAGTTTGGTGCAAAAGTAAAAGTAAAATTAAATGATATAATTTACATTTGCCATTTCCAACAGTAGTCTTAATATGTAAATTGCATGCAAATTTGAATGCTTTATAAGTTGCGAAATGAAAATGAAAATGTATAACACAAATTGATTTGATATGTGTAACATGTCCAAGCAGAAAGGGTAGCATAATGATCATTTAAATGCTATTTGTCCTAAATGCATTTAGACTAACAGTTAGAACACTTAGGACTGCGTTTTCATCATGACGCCGTGGGATATGTGTAGCAAAATTAAATTTGAAAATGCATTCCGAGCTGACCACGCCC